ACACAGATGACAAACCATTTTTTAAAAATCTCTTGGATACCTCTGATCTTGAAAACACAAGTGTTGTATAATCTTGCACATTGTGTTACCTGTTCTCATCCTTGTATAAGTTCTTAGCTGTCTGATTAATCATTTACCACATGTTACTAAGCAAAGATGTAAGGAACAACGAAGAGTGAAGATCAAGGAGATGAAATAAAAACAACAACAAATCCAAAGTTCTCTTGCATGAGGATCTGTAACACTGTGAAAAGCAAGAGTGGACATCTTACTGTTTGGATGACTGAAAATTATATAGGATGCATAACCAGCCCCTAGGAATAGAATGATTCACCAGACCACACATTGTCAGAGCAATGGTTCGAATGGCATTTAATTGCCTCCTCCAGTAATATCTATAACCAAATAAAGTCAATGGTTTAATAAGAAAACCACTCACAAATGTTCCTTTCCCACCAGAGTCTTCTGACACCAGACATGTCAGATTGGACTAAATTGAGCAACAGATACTTGGTGATTTCATCCTCAGATTCACCCCAGCCAGATTTTTATGAGTATGTGAACACTACAGTCTCTTGCCATTATCTAGGCCAGTTTATATGGCTGAATGTGTGTTTCTCTCTGGGGTCAGAATGAACATATGCAGTATGAGTGAACGGCTTCCAGTGGTTAGCATGTGAGGATCCTGTGTGATAAAGTACATGTTCTCCCCAGGACACTGCAGATCTTATCACTGTATTTGTTCCTTGCCTATGACCTCAAAGTGCATCTGTTTTCCTCTGATGCCTGTGGGGGGATTCTGGGGGTCCAAAGGGTCAGTGTGAGACTAACCCAGAGATTGAATTCATTCCAGAGAGAAAAATAATCCAGTCAGCTTCATGCTGCTGTACTATTTTATTGAAGTAAACAAAGTAAAATATGACCATAGAACCAGCAGTATATAAAACCTTCCAAAATAATAAAAAGAACGTCCCTTGTCCACTCACCAAGCCCTACAGAAGGGGTTATTGAGGAGACTTCCAGTTTCGGCAATTCTAATGGCGGACGTGCTCCTTCAGAGCTCCGATACGAGCAGCCTGTGATGCAGCGGACAGGAGGGGTACCAGACAATTCTGGACCCCCCCAGAGTCCTTGGAGGGGACTCCCAGCCTGGGATGCAAGAGGTGCCTCTCCCAAGGCCACGGCCAAGGGATCAAGGCTCCTCTTTGCCCCGACAGGTCCTGCCATCGCAGTGCCATCATGGCACCAAGAGGTGTACACTGGACGAGTGAACAAGTGATCTAGCGAAAATATAAAGTTTCCCCTACCTCCGCAGCTGACACGGAATGAAGCGTGAGTGAAATTTCTTTTTAACTGGTTGTGCAGCCAAGCGCCCATCTGAAGCCCTGATTGGTAACGACGGAGGGGGAGGGAGTCTGCTCACCCCAAAAAAACTTTAAACAAACTGTTTATTTATTTATTTGTTTGTTTGTTCAATTTGATATACCGCCCTAACCCCCTTGGGGGTCTCTGGGCGGTTTACATAGATGGAGTGCTAATCACAATTTATATCCTGACTTGGGCCACATTATTCGGGGGGGGGGGACAGCCTACCGGCACCCTGGTGAAGGCTGATGTTCTTCGGCTGGCTTCATTCCCGGTAGTCTGCTGACTTGCTGTTCTTTTTCTGGCGCTTGGTCCGGCACGTAGTGCACGTCCTTCTGGCTCCGCCGCGCCTGTGGATGACATCACCGCGTGCCTCTGCTGCACAGCAGCCGCCCGTTGTTCCCACCGCTGGCCACCAGGGATCACTCCTCCGCTGCCGCTCGCTGCCATTGCCTCGCCTCGCCACGTCGCTTCCACCACCAGTAATCCGCCATTGCCGCCGCCGCTGTTGCCTTCCACACGCCTCATCGGAGGAGGGTGCCCCCACCCTTCTAAGGGTGGGTACCCATTAATCTACTCGCATCAAGATTACATCTGCTTTCGAACCGCTGGGAGCTAGGATGAGGGTCGAGAGCTCACCTCGACCGTGGTGGGTCTCGAACAGCCATAGTGGCTGCTCGAGTGTTGTTGTTAAAGCAGGCATTTTTACTGATAGAGGGGGCTAGGAGATATGGCGATTTTGGATTGAATCAAGTAAAGCACAGATTCAACTAAAGCGACTTTATAAATAAACTTTCAGTGACTTTTTAAAACTTTCCCCGAACTGTAAACAATGACTAGTCGGGCAGAAAAGATGGCGATGAGACTGAAGCACTCTCCTGGAACTGCAAGATCAGGTCTTCTGGCTGCCAAACCAGAAGTAAATACTGACTTCCCAATATGTTGACTATAGCACTGCGCCCTCTGTTGGATCAGCGGACTAACCTCAGTAATAACACTGAAGCACTCCAAAAACAGTTGAAAAAATTAGTTGCTGTAGATTTTCCGGGATGTGTGGCTGTGGTCTTGGCATTGTAGAACCTGACATTTCACCAGTAACTGTGACTGGCATCCTCAGAGGTATAAACACAGAAAGATGGAATACTCTCAGTGTCAAAGTGAGAAGAAAATGGTAGGCAGTAAATTTATCTCTATTCCAGAAGGTGGGTAGGGCTGAGTCATTGTCTTGTAGGAGTTCCCCAGGCTATTGACATGCTAATGGAGGAGCTTTCCTGAGGAGGTTCTTTTGTTTCCTGAGGAGGTTGTGGACAAGTTTACATCGGGACCACACAGCATAGCATTCGGACAAGAATAAAAGAACATGAAAGACACTGCAGACTTGGCCAACCTGAAAAATTAGCAGTGGCTGAACATAGCCTAACTCAAACAGGACACAGTATTTTGTTCCAAGACACTGAAAGTTTGGACAACACTTTCAATTACCATGTCAGATTACACAGGGAAGCCATTGAAATTCAAAAACATAAACATAATTTCAACAGGAAAGAAGAAGGAAAGAATCATATGATTCTTGTGTAGCTTATTTGTTTTAGTCTAGTGTTTTAGTGTTTAGTGTTTGTAGTGTTTGTAGCAAGAAAATAATAAAACATTTATGAAGAAGAAGAAGAAGAAGAAGAAGAAGAAGAAGAAGAAGAAGAAGAAGAAGAAGTTGTTGTTGAAAAAGCAGTCCCGAACATCCAAATTCATAGTTCACTTAGACACTTCTGGTCACCTACTAATGGATTCAATGCAAGATGCTATGCAGAAATGGGGTGGCCTGATTGGAAACCAGACTCCACCTCTTTACCAATGATAAGAATAGCAATTAATTTTTATCTAGATACCTAATTATTTTCTATTCTCTTTAGATAGTATGGAACCGTTAGTGCTAATCTCTAATGTTTAGGCTAAGTGTCTGGCCTGGAAGCTATGAATCCAGGCAAAAGGTATATCTGAAGGGCATGGCTTTATTTTTATGCTTAGGTTGCCAGCGAGAGAACAAAGACTCATGGGATACATGAACGAAAGAACAGAAGTTAGCTATAGCAAAACCAGCATGGTGATAAGGAACAGAAAGGCCCAGGCTCATGAAGCCCCAAATTCTGCAACAATGCCCACTCCCTTTCTACACATTTCAGCTAGGCTTTTCCTATTATGCAGCAGCGACCAGTTGGGGATATGTATGTGTAAGATCGTCAGTGGCTCTGTTTCCAGATAGCCAGCCCCTTTCCAACCATGCAGCACCCACTTAATATAAAGTGCAAGCAGTGCACCAACTATAAGGAATGTCTCTAGACCAATATTAACACACCTGCTGCATCACCCCTTAATCCATAATGCATCGAAAATCTACATTTAGAAAGTTCAGTGAAATAGCAGCAGCAAAATTAACTGCCCTGAAACCTGTACCTAAAGCAAAGAAATGACTCTTAAATTGGTCATCCAACTCCGCAAAGTGTTTCTTTGAGCGGCAGCAAGAGGCGAGTTTCAATGTGGTGGCATTTGCACTCAATGCCCCGAGCTCCACTTTGATAGAATCTTCCCCCTACCTCCTCACTCCAGATGTAATTACTGCTGTTTTTTAGTGAGCCATATAATTTTGAACAGCCTGCCACCAAGGTGTCGCAAAAATGATAGAAGTACCTTGCCCTGGCATCTAATAGGGATGAAATCAATGAACCCCCATCCCAGAGGAAGCAACACATCACAAAGTGTGGGGGCCCACTGAGATTCAATACCAGCAAGTTCTTCACAGGCAATAGTCATTATGTTAGCAAAAAGTGACAGGACTGCAGCAGACCTTTGCAAAAAGTTAAGGGCAATTTTAAGAACTGGCAGAAGAGGCATGTTGGATTTACAGTCTCATGCACGGAAGTCTCTTGTCTAGAAGGCAGACACAGCAGAGGCAGCTCCTGGAACAGATTCCCTTAAATGTCTTGCTTCAAATTAATTGCAGATTAACATGACTACAGGCAATGGGAGATTGAAGAGCCCTACCTGTATTGGGGCTTCAGTGTTCTCAGCTATGAGTGGAAACACTCTGCATGCACAATGGAAAATGTCTCTGATTGTGCACAGCATTTGTTCTCATTGAATCAAAAACACAGACCATTGCATCTGAAATCCAATTGTTTTTTTTCCTTGATGGCATTACACAAACTATAGAGAAAGGCCCATAGCTCAGAGGCACAGTGTTTATTGCTTCATCTTCCTACCATACCCTTCCTACCCAAAACCAAGATGGAGAGAAATACATTAAGGATTTCTGAAGGGCTTTTAGCATAGTCCACCCGGACAGAATAAAGCCTCTATTAGAAGGGCTAGGGTGGCAATATGGACCTCATGTAATTTGCATCCCTATCATATAACAGTGGCTTTGGACTCTTTATGCCATTTAAAAGAGAGCATCCTCTTGAATGAATTTCCAAAGTTGGTTAAACGACTACTTAATGTTTGCTAAGCATTATGTAAGTGTTGGGCTGATGTTGCTTTCTCAGCTGCTAATGGTATGGAAATTAAAGTTAATGTCAAGTTTACATTAAAAATTACATTGGCTATTAAACTGACAGATTAATCTGATTTACAACGCATTTTGCAAACCGATTTGATGTTCACTGATTAATGCAGTAAATTAGATGCTTACAAATCTCATAAATTAAGATATAAATCACCAAGTCCCATCAGTAATTTATACCATGTCAGATGTCATTGTTGATGCATCCAAAGTTCATGGTTTCCAATCTCAGGGATAAGAGTATCTCAACGAGAGATCAAAATGAGAACCTGACATTATGCCTTGGAGTCATAACACTTGCTTGCCCGTGTCAAGCATCTAGTCCTAGATTTTCAAGTTTCAGACACTGCTCAGGAATATTTTATTCCATGTTATTGGTTTAGGAATTCAATGTCCAACATTTCACAGATGATAATAGGGAGAGACTTTGTCTCAGAGCCAGGATTCATTGCCTGAAGCCCTTTTTCTTCACTATTACAAAGATTGTAAGGCCTGCCCAGACTCTTATGATCAGACATGGTACTTCAAAGTCTGTGGGTTCAAGGTCAGAAACGGCATCAAAAGATCAAACTAGCACCTTGAATTCAACCTGGAAACAAACCAATAACTGGTGAAGTTCATCTAATATTTCAGGCTAGTCCAGTTGCTGGCTGTCAGCCACTGCATCAGTTATCCTCAAGAGCAAGTCTACACAGAACACATGGAAGTAATCCAGTCTCAAGATTACAGTAACATAGATGAGAAGAAGAGAAGGAGGGGGAGGAGGAGGAGATTGGATTTATACCCCACCCTTCACTACCTGAAGGAGTCTCAGACTGGTTTACAATCTCCTTTCCCTTCCCCTCCCCATAACAGACACCCTGTGAGGCAGGTGGGGCTGAGAGAGCTCTTTCAAGAACTGCTCTCGAGAGAACTGTAATTGACCCAAGGTCATGCTAGCAGCTGCATATAGAGGAGTGGGGAATCAAACCTGGTTCTCTCAGAGTCCGCGCTCCTTACCACTACACCAAACTGATTACAGCCAGGTCAGTCGTATCCAATAGAGGGCAATGTTCCCTCTAAGCTATAGAATCTTGTGAGCAAAAATTCTACTCCGTGAGCTACTGGCATGAAATTTGTGAGCGAGCGATTTGGCTACTGCATAAATTAGTTGGCTCTAGAGTCATCCTTCCTGAGCGAAGACAAAAATCTGTGAGCTGGAGGCTGAAAAACTGTGAGCTAGCTCACACTAACTCAGCTTAGAGGGAACACTGATAGAGGGCACTGTTTTTGAGGTAGGTATAACTGAAAAAAGGCAACAGTGATAATTAGCTGCCCCATCTGCAAGCCTGGAATCAAAGCACCTCCAAACTCTTACACAAATCTAGAAGTGCTGAAGTGAGTACCTGAAATACAGGATACACAAAAATGCGAATCTGCAGAACACAATACAATAGAATCGGGAGGAAATCACACATCTCTACTCTGGAATCAGAAGCTTTTCTTGGGGAAAACTTTATTTGCTACATTCCTATATACCTGGTTGCTCTTATACACACAAGCACAGGTAAAAATGTTGGGATTTTCTAGTTCTATTTCTCTGGACAGAAAACAGACGTGGTATATGGTATATGATGGCCTTGGACCATGGTGATTTCTAAATACTTTCAAGATTACACGGAAAATGTTTGTAGATGACTAGACTCTGTGTGTAAAATGAAAGCACCAATTTGGAAACAATTATCTGTGCAATTCTTTTGATAGGACAACATATAAAAGCAACCAGGGTTTAAACGGATAAAAAAGGGTGTCAGGCTATTAAGTTGACTACTCTGACCGGCAGCAGTTCTCCAGACTCACAGGTCTTTCATATCAGCTACTACCTGATCCTTTTAACTAGAGATGCCAGGGATTGAACCTGGTTTCATCTGCATGCAAAGCAGATGCTCCACCACTGAGCCATGGCTCCTCCACATGTATGGATTCCTATCATATG